CAACCATTCGAACCCGAGCACCAGCGGGGAACATGCAGAGGGAAAAACAAAAAATGTTATAGTCTCTCGGTGGTTACCTGACAGAAGTAGCTCGAGGGGCTGAGTTTGGTGGGTAACTCGATGGAGTCTTTTTCCGTCTATGGCGGATACACTGAGAGGCTGAGAAAGGGGAATGGTTTTAATCTGGAGTTGCTGGACGAGGTTAGAGTCGATTAGGTTACGTTCACAGCCTGAGTCGATGAAAGCAGAAAAAGAGAGGCTTTGATTAGCATAGAAAAGCGTGGCAGGCAGTAACAGTCGAGGAGATTTCTTTGTGTTTATTTGGCCCGCCAGACTCCTCAGATCCTCTGGCGGGCCCCGGCTTTTGATTTTGCCGGGCAGGAAGCAATGAAGTGTCCACTCTCACCACAGTAGATACATAGTTTGCTTAGAAAACGCCTTTGTCTCTCCTCTGGAGTGAGCCTGGTGTGTCCCACCTGCATGGGTTCGACATCCCTTTCGCCCGAATGTGAGGCCTGAACAGGCAACGGTAGAGACTGGGGCTTAGACCTCTGAATGGGCAGCTGCTCTGTAGAGGGAGAACAAACAGTCACGTTATGAGAGGCAGAAGAAATTGTACCCTGCTTCTTAGAACTGTTTCTGGCTCGAATTCTATTATCTAATCTGATGGAGAGGCGAATTAAATCTTCGAGGGTAGCAGGTTCGTCGAGGGTTGCGAGTTCATCTTTAATGTGCTCGTTTAATGCCATGAAAAAGGCTCCTTTCAAGGCGCTTTGGTTCCATCCGGAAGCTGCCGCTTTAACCCGGAAGTTAATAGAAAATTCAGCCACCGAAGAGTTTCCCTGTTTAAGGTTGAAAAGAGCTCTAGAATCAATAGTTTGGCCTCCCAGTTTTGGGAGTGAAACTTTTCCTGAGACTGCCTGTTTTTATCTTAGGCTAAGTTCACACTGCAGGCCTTGATGCTCAATTCCGATTTTTTTTGTGAAATCCGATTTTTTTGCATTGCCGTTCAAATTCCAAATATATGCGACTTGTAGTATGTGATCTCCTGTGCGAACTGCATTCATACAGCTTAAGTGTCCCGCATGTGCAGTAGATGACGCAGTGACGTCACAAGCCAGCGTGCTCTGTGTTTACGGAATTAAAGATAGATGGTAGCATCGGAGCACATCTAGCGATCTTTCCCAACCATAAAACCTCAATCTTTTCAAGATGGTTTAAAAAAATATTACTCTCCGCATCATCGTCCGCCATGGCGTTTGTTTTTCTTGCCACTTCTGTGTAGCAAGAAGCAGAATAGTGACCTATGTCGGTTACTAATGGCCTTCAGGTCGGATGAATGCGACCTGGCCGTTCACACACAAGTCGCATTTGAAAAGATCAGATTCGTATCGGATTCAGGACCACATAGACAAGTGGCCTGGGTCGGATTGGAAAATATCGGATCTGTGTTGTTCAGACTGCCATGAAAAGATCAGATCCAGGTCGCATATGGACAAAAAAAAATCGGATTTGGGTCACTTCAGGTTGCAGTGTGAACGTAGCCTTATATTCCCGAATTGTTTGTATGATGGAAGTGGGACAAACAGTGCATTGGCAGAGTGCAAGAGATCTGTAGCAATGTGTCTGGTCCTATTTTGGACTCCTGCAGCATGAACAGAGATCCAGATCTGGTAGATTACATCCTATAATCCCCTGGGCTGTCCTCATCACCCGAGGGTTGTCTTCAACCTTCCTGGACCTCCTGTATCTCACTATAACCTCCTTGGTCTTACTGGTGTCCAGGATGGTGTTATTTCTGGAACAGCACAACCTCAGATTGTCAATAAGTAGTGCGTCCTATTATTAGATATGTGTCTCTTCCAATATAAACCTCATGAGTTAACTGGGCTATCAGCAGTAGCTTTGGAACTCTCACATGAATAAGTTTATTCTCCAGTTTCTATTGTCTGATAATCAGTGCGGATCTTATTGTCACAAGTCAAGCCTGCATAGATTTAAATATCTATTCATTTGGGTTCTTTTGTGAGAACCAGTATTGGCTGTTTGTGTTTTCTGGGAGTAATTTTTGTTGACTAGCCACTTCTGCTCGGAAGAGAGTAGGAGACTCTTGATAAGATATATATACTTTCATTGCATTAAAAAAGGCAATTAGAGAGATGGGAGAGAAAAAATATTAAAGGAATAAAAAGAAAAATGGAAATAACATGTGAAAAACAAAAAATAGCCAGAGAAAAAGGGAAAAGAAGAAAAATATGAAAAATTAGAATTAATTATGGACATTTTGCTTTAGACTTATTCATTTAGAGATTTGTCACAAACATAAAAATGTAAGATTTAAAAAAATGAATGAAGGAGTTCATGTGGAGTTGAAACAGTGATTAGGGAAGAGCAGACCTAGTTAAAAGAAACTGAGACTCTCGTCCCTGCCAGGAACTCTGGAAATCGAACTAATGCATTGATGCCACCATCTGGCTTTCTTTAGATCCCTCACTGAAACAATAGTCCTCCCACTGCAACCGTGACTTAATCCCCTCTCTTTATAATCACATGCATTTCCTTCAAGGACATGAACACTTTATGCGACTTCCTGCACCTCTTTCCTTACAGCATACCTTGTGGGTCTTTCAGTTTCTTTAGCAGGTTTTTTTTTTTACTCAACCTGCCAAACTGCAAGCATTCAAATGCATCTGCCTCCTAGCTGTTGCCATGGTGTCGTCTTATTTATTGTATATCAGCCCTCTGACATCAAGCAGCAGAGTACACGTCTTGGCTGCTATAAACATCTGTTATCGTGCTGGCAGCACATCTTTACTCAGAGATTTAAGAAAGAAGGCTCCAGGGTTTTAAAACCAACTTAAAGATAAGATTTAATATTTGTATTAGTCCTGCCAGATGAATACAGAATGTGAGATATTTGGGTCTGCTTTGCAAAAATATGTATTTGCTGAATTAAATGCAGTCCTTTGGTGAAATATTCATTTATTTGTATTGTTATTTAGTCTAATGCGACTTCCAGTGCTTTACACAGTAGCTGAGCATGTATTGTAATGATTATCCATCAGGTGAATAGTTTTTTTTTAAAGGGGAACATTGTTTTTTTTTTACATTGGCCCCTTGATTTTCGGTTATTACATCATGTTCTACTCACCCATATTAGTTTTGTGTCATTTGGAGCCATTCTGAAGATATTCTGTTAGGTTATATCCAAGTAATGTCTTCCTATGGGCAACGAGTTGAAGGCACAAACTAAAATGTTCATAATTTATTCTTCATGGTACGCCAGTATTCATAACATGTAGGCCAATTACTGTCCCCCAGACATCCGCGGTTATATTTTTTTATATCTATATTTTTTAAAAGCAAAGCGGAGTGTGTATGACGACATCCGTGCGCGCCGGCTACCATTCATTCATCCTTTCCGCTGAACTGCTGCTAGGTTTACTCTCAGTGGTAATTGGTGCAACGCTATCCCAGGCAAGGGGGTAATCAGGCGGGTCAAAAGGTTTGTGTTGGTTTTACTAAGTGCCTTGTGAATTAAAACAATCAATTAACTTCTGGCCTTTAAAAACAAGACAGAGCACAAGTTGTTAATTAACTCTGCTCTTAACATGCTCAACTTTTCATATACACCCCAAAAATGTTTTTCCTGAACTACTTTCATCCATAGAAAACCATTTTTCAGACTTCAACATGAATAATTCCTGCTGGAGGTTAACTGTTCATCTTTAAAAAAGTGGTGCAGCTTGTGCAATATGGTGGCATTTTATTTTTTGAAAGCTGAAATAATTTCTGGTGGATTGGTGGTAGCTTTGTCAAATTTCTGAACAATTGATAGTAAAAATAAAAGTTTAAGACTTTTAGCTTTTTATCTAAGGGGAAGCTGATTTGTACCTGGGGGGTCCTCATTCTTCATTATTCTGTCCAAATTGTGCAATGCACATGTAGTAGGCCTACTGGCAGCAAAACAGATTCTTAAACTTCATATTATTACAATTTTAAAGGTTCGTACTGTGCAGAGTTCCTGACTGGGACTCCTCCAATCATTCAGTGTGGCCTAACAGCTCTATTTTTGTTATCTGTTTTTTTTTCTTCCAAAAAGTATTTGGGTTATTCTAAAATTATTCAAATTTCAGTATGATATTTTGGAGCATGTTGACTCTTTTCTTGGTAAGTGTGTCTGTCCATGGTGAGGTATAACTTGCTCTCACAGATATTTTTGTCTCATTGTGGTGGATAATTATTTATTTATTAGGCTGGTTGATATCCTGGGTTTTTTCTAAACACCTTTAAAACATCCTTTCTTATGAAGGTGACAACTCAGAGGCTTGAACATTGGACACCATTGATTATTCCAATTAAAAATTATTTCAAACAGACAGCAGGGGTGTTTATGAAAGACTTGCAGTGACATTCCTTTATGATTTTGGTGGAACAACGTTGCTAAATTTTAAATTGTCACAAACCAGAAAAAATCCTAGGTTGAAAAATCAAGAATGAAATTTATTTGGAATTTACACATAGATTCTGTCATATGGAAATCAAATTTTACTATTTCTTCTTTGAAAAAAAAAAAGATTATATTGAAAACTAAGAAGGTATGTTTGCTTTATCTAAGCCTAAAGATTATTATTCTTTATTACATTTAGTAGTTCAGAGATATAAAGTATAGTATCAAAGTGTAAGACACTGCATTTTTTAAATATTCTGCAATTAATCTGTGCCTTTATTTTGTATAATTCTGTATACAGTATGTATTATGTGATTGATAAAAAATTCTTTGTTTCATTTTCTATTTTCACTGGTTTGTGAATTAATGTTTTCTTTAACTTAGGCTTTCTCCTGAAAAAAAATTAAAGTATTTTCTAACTAAAAATAAATAATTCTATTTGACAAAACATATACATTTTTAATTACCTTTCGCTCATGGTAAAACAACAGTAGTAATGAACCCTCCATAGCAGTAGGTGGCGAAGTCGGGTTTCAAGTGAAGACTAAAACAGAAGAAACGCTTGTACTTCCCCACGTGTTCATCATGTCTACTAGAGCCGATGCTGTGTAAGCTGAAGAGAGTAGCGACTTATTGTCGTTTTAGTTCTGTAATTTGTTCTTACTAAATATTTAACAGCGGTCGGTAAGAACAGCAAAGTGACAGTATGGCTCAGAGAAAGAAGAAGCTGACGAAGAAGAAGAGGCACACAGCTAAAAGGGAGCAGGAGGCTGACTCTGACATCGGAGACTTTGAGTTGGCTGCTGAAATCAAAGATGACGACTCTGTAAGTCATATCAGTTTAACAATTTTCCTTTTAAAAGAGAACAAATTTGTCCTACTTCACAAACCCTTGTGGTTAGCTTGCGTCAGATCCTCCGCTATATCAACGGGGGTATAGCTCAGTGGTAGAGCATTTGACTGCAGATCAAGAGGTCTCCGGTTCAAATCCGGATGCCCCCTTGTTTGTTTTTGATATAATTTGTTACCTCTGGTTGCTAACAAGTGATACTATCACGTTTCACTTGCTATGCATTTTTTTCTGTCAATTCAATAATACATTCAGTCCTGAATATAGTACTTTCTTTCCTTCTGCACATGAAGTTATAGCTCATCATCCATTGTTTTCCTAATAATCCTGGTCCTCTACAGTAAACTCAGTTTAACCTCTATAGTCTTCTTATAGAGTGATAAACATAGTAAAACAGACATACTTGAGGTGTCTTGCATTAAAAAAAATATTAGCGTTTCTTTAAATATATATATTTTTAAGACTTAACCAACTGAAAGGTTTTTGGCTCAGTGAATTAATATGTTGAGTACTCAGGCCAAACCAACTTTATTTATAAAAACAGCAGACCCCGACCAAAGAACTGAACATCACAAAAAAAAAAAAATAAAGTGAACTGACATAACCTTTCTATATTTAAAATCAATAAAATGGTTTAAATAGATATAAAATCTACAGCTGCCATCCTTTAAGGCAGTGATCTAGTGCTCAAGAACTTCAACTTTGAGATGCATCTTTACTTCAATATATAAGTAATATAAATTAGCAGTTAGATTGGTTTGAACTGAAATGTTTGCCTATTCTTCTTTGCAAAGTTTTTTTTTTAATAGATGAATATTATCAATGAGCCACAGTTTTACTAATTTAGAGACTTAGACTCAACTATATTTAAATTCAATTCAGTTTATTTGTATAGAGTCAATTCACAACACATGTCATCTCAAGGAACTTTACAGTTCACCAGATCATACAGGCAAATTGATTTAAAGTTTTCTATCTAAGGGAAACCAGTTGGTGTACTGACCTTATAAATAAGTTAAAACAATTACACAGTGTACACAGTAATTGGCATGTGTTATTACACAGTGAGAGAAAAGAATATTGAACCTGAGTGATAACAGGTAATGTTTTGCATAAGATGTCCAAGGAGGGGGACGCTGACCCTTGTCCCTATTCCCATCACCTCCTCCTTCCTTCAAGTGAGGAGTTGTACAGCTTGATGGCTATGAGAACAAAGGAGTTCAGTAGTATGTTGGTCCTGCATTTTGGGATGAGCGATCACTGATCAGGCTCCCCTGAGTGGTGAAGACAGTGTGCAGACGGTGGCTGGCATTGTTCATAATGTCCAGCAGTGGCCAATCACAGAGCTGGCTTGCCTCACCTGTTTGTCTAGTCTGCAGGTGTCCTTCATGGATGTACTGTTCCGTTAGCACACCTCTGTGTAGAAGAGGACACTGTAGAAGATGCATCTTTATCTATATCATTTAATTACTCTATATCATTTGAATTGGATTTTCATCTAAATTGTCATAATATCTAAAATATTTTTACAGTTTAATTGAAGCAAACAAATGCTTTGACAGGATATTTGAAAATATAAAATGAACCTCATAAGCATTTCACATGGCTGTTGGGTGATGTGATAAAATGTACACAAAGTTTCAAGATGTCTGAATATTTTGATAAAGCATTACATGATCTTTATTTTGTTATCCATTCTTTTTCGAATGCTGGAAGTTTGATGTTTTTGACCTAGATGTTACAGAAATGTCACTGCTGTATCTTGTAGCTCAGTGTTTCTGATGATGTGTTGTCTTGTTGAATTTAACAGCCCGGGAAGAAACTGCCACGCTTCCCCGCTGCATCAGATGCCACATCCGACGTGGAGCCCGACACCAGGGAACTGGTCCGAGCACAAAACAAGAAGAAGAAGAAGTCTGGAGGGTTTCAGTCTATGGGTAGGTTCACAGAAGCTGCTTTTCATTACTTTCTGGTGTGTTAAAAAAATTTAAGAAATCTTTAACTACAGCAAACGTAGTTGACCATCTTTATATTTAATTCCAGGTCTCAGTTTCCCTGTTTATAAGGGTGTCATGAAGAAGGGTTACAAAGTCCCTACTCCCATTCAGAGGAAGGTATGTCAGTGGATCCTTTGGTTAAACATTTGTGACGTTCTTGATGTTGCATTGCTGCTCTTTACCTCATCAGACCATTCCTGTGATTCTGGATGGGAAAGACGTAGTGGCTATGGCGAGGACAGGCAGCGGGAAGACGGCAGCTTTTTTGGTCCCCATGTTTGAGAAGCTTAAGGCCCCTCAAGCCCAAACGGGAGCCAGAGCTCTCATCCTAACCCCCACCAGAGAGCTGGCCCTCCAGACCATGAAGTTCACTAAAGAGGTCCGTTTGACCTGACTGCGGTTATGTTGTTTGTTTTTTTTCATATTGAATGTTAATTATGAAGTGATTCCTCGGTTGAACTTTTTTCCTTTCCTTCTTTGTTGTTGTTAATTAGTTGGGTAAATTCACACGCCTGAAGACTGCTTTAATCCTCGGTGGAGACAGGTTTGCAAACCTTGTGTTGCATTTATTATATTGTTGTTTTGTCTTATTAAATGTGTGCTAACTGTAAACATCTCTATTGTTTCCAGCATGGAGGATCAGTTTGCCGCTCTTCATGAAAACCCAGACATGTACGTTTTTGATTTTAGCTCTTCTCTTCACGTTTCATCTATTTGCATGCTCAAAAAGCAACAAAAACATGAGGTCTCCTCTTGTCCTGCAGAATTATTGGAACTCCTGGTCGTCTCATGCACGTCATCACGGACATGAACCTGAAGCTGAACAGTGTGGAATATGTGGTGTTTGATGAGGCTGACAGGTAAATTACAGTATCATTTAAAGGATTTACACCTGATTGCAAAATGTATTTAATTTATTTGGAATTCTATATGATGGATCACTTAGTAATTGTAGTTAGAAAGTAATGAATAGTGTTGAATTAACTTATTTAACTTGAATTAGACCATTTTAGCATGCAATCAGAGTAGTGTTCTTTGGCAGCACATTAAAAAGGTGGTTAGCTTGATGTTTTATTTGGAATCCTTGTCTTTGAAAAAATATATATTCAAAGAACAATTTTCAATCTTTTTAAAATGGGAACATGAGATTCATTATCAACCATTTTTTCTATTTCTCATTAACTTTGATGCAAATATGACTTCAGACTTTTACTCAAAGGCACTTCTGACACGATTATCCCCACTGGGTTAATAAGGGGTGCTGGTGCCTATCTCCAGCTGTCCTTTTATGAGCAATGTCATAATATTTAAAGAATATATTTTATTAAATTCTGCTTAATTTTCTGAAAAAATTAGTGTAATGAAAAAAAAAACCTAACTAAACTCTAGTTTTTGCCTTGAATAGTGGAAAATAAGATAAGAAAAAATGCTGATAGTGGTAGTTGATAGTGTTGTTCAGTTGTGGAATTTGAATGCCATCATTCCATTATTGAACAAAAAAATAACAAACAGCTTAGATATGCATTTATTATTGCATTACTATTGTAGGAGATTCAAAAAGCCACATGAAAAAGAATTAACCCAATGATATCGGGACTTTATTTGCAAAAGACTTGTTAGTGAGATGTTAGTTTTCTGACCTTGTTTTTTTTTTATTGTTTTTATTTTACATTTTTTACCCCTATTAGCAAAGAGTTTTTCTCCAACTACAGTATTTATTTTTTGTACCTGCATTTGGCTCAATATGAGTTATCTTCAAGTCTGCTCAGCTTCTTTTTCCCTGTTAAAGAAATGCATTCCCACCCAATGATGCAGCCACCACCGTGTCTTACCATGAGAACGATGTGAAAAAAATTAGATTTGACCAAATGTACTGATGGTTATTGATAAAAGCAGTTTAATTAACCAAAATCTGACATAATAAAAAAACTAATCTAAAGAAAGGTTCGACATTTAAAAGATTTCTTTTTGTCTCTTGAATCTTGAGAAGCTGTAGCTTCAGTTGGGAATTTCTATCTTGGGAGAGTTACTGTAGCACTAATATTTCATGTAGACTAAGATTTTAGTTTAATCTAGCTTGTACAATGACATTTCAATTGAGAGCAGATAATTTGTAAATTAAATGTTGGTTAAATAAATACATCTGTCTCCAAAAAACCCATTTCTCTTTAATGTGAAATAAAATAAGCTTCAGATTCACATCGAGTCAGCTTTTGTGTTTTGAAGCAACACAGGATCATTTGCAGCAAACAGATTTTAATGATCCTTTTCTGAGCTTGAGCTTGCATGTTTTTTTCTCTTGCTCCTCTCAGGTTGTTTGAAATGGGTTTTGCCGAACAGCTTCAGGAAATCATCCGCAGGCTCCCAGACACCAGACAGACCCTCCTGTTCTCTGCTACTCTGCCCAAACTGTTGGTGGAGTTTGCCAGAGCCGGTGAGATCATCATCCCTCTCCTTCTCTTCTATAGAACATGCTGTGGCTTCTGGTTGGACTGAATAAACCTCTGTCTACAGGGCTGACTGAACCGGTGCTGATTCGCTTGGATGTTGATTCAAAACTCAGTGACCAGATTAAGGTAAGAAATAAACTGTATAGCAATGGTTTCCTGCTGCAGTTCTTCCACAGAGACCATGTTGGCATATTGAAGCAAATTTAGATTGTTGAAGCCACTGCAGAATTTTTCTGCTCAGGTGTTTGATAACTTTCGCCACAGAACTTCTTTTATTTTATTTGCATACATCCGTCCTTTTGCAAAGTTTCTATAACCTACACCTAGAGCTAATTTAAAATCCTGGGTGCATCTGTGTCCAGTAGTGACTGACATTTTTTTGGGAATCCCACGTGTCACGGGATTCCCGTGGGATGGGAGTCAGTATTAGTAACGGTCACGTGATTGGGACGGTACAGGATTAAACATTAACGGGAGCAGATGGGAGCGGGAGCAAACCAATAGTAACTAAAAAAAACTATGATCGGTGCCAAAAAATAAAATAAAATAGAAAGAAAAAAAATCCAGTACCCGGCTCCGCCATTTTGTAGTTTTTTTCCTTGAAGCCTACACTATAATGCGAGCCAAAAAAAACTACACGACCCAAAAACCAACAGTGCTTCCGCTCTGAGTTTTTCACCCGCGCTCAAAAACAAGAATGGGAGTGGTGCGGGAGCGGGAGTCATTCTGAATGGGAGCGGGATGGGAGTGGGAGTAATTTCACCAGGAGTGGGACGGGACAGGATTTAGATTTCTACTCTGGCCCGGGATCGGGACGGGACACAATTTTTTTTATTGTGGGAGTGGAATGGGACAGGAGTGAAAATCCACTCCTGTGTCAGTCTCTAGTGTCCAGCTCTCTTTAAATTGTTTCTGATCTTGTCCTCCATCAGTTGTCATTCTTTTACCTGCGAGTGGATGACAAGCCTGCGCTGCTGCTGCACCTCTTGAGGAACGTGGCGAAGCCTCAGGAGCAGACGGTGGTTTTCGCTGCCACTAAGCATCATGTGGAGTACCTGAAGGAGGTAAGATAACAGCACCTGGCCAAGTCTGGGCTTCTCTCATGAAATCCCTCTAAATATTTACAGTTCAGTCTGATTTCAGTTTAAACTTACATTTGGTTGAGATTATTATTTCCTTCCATTTTTAGCTTCCTTTTAGAATAAAACTGGGCATAAAAAATATTTTCATTTTCATTCATCAGTCTGTCTTTCTGCCTACTGTCTTACATCACTGTCTGTCCATCTGACCTTCTGTCGTTTTTTTTCTCCCTAATTTCTGTCAATTTATTCCTTGAAGAAATTTCACTTCCAATGATTAAGAACCCTGTCTAAATATTCAAGTCTTTAAAAAAAATCTTTACACAGTTGAGTAAAAACTCTGATGCCTTTTGTAGCTGTTGTCTTCAGAGGGCATAGAGTGCGCCTACATCTACAGCGCCCTGGATCAGACTGCCAGAAAGATCAACATTGGGAAGTTTGTGCACAGAAAAGCCATGGTGCTCCTTGTCACTGATGTTGCAGCTCGTGGTATAGACATCCCCCTGCTGGACAATGTCATCAATTACAACTTCCCCTCCAAAGCTAAACTCTTCTTGCACAGAGTCGGTTCGTACTTCAGGCCTTTAGCTTGTATCTTTTTCCTTATTCATTAACCGAATGTTGAGGCTTGAATGATCAAAGTATCCGTTCTCTTTTCCGATCAGGCCGTGTGGGGCGTGCAGGTCGCAGTGGAACAGCGTACAGCATGGTTTGTCCAGATGAGATGCCTTACGTCTATGATCTTCACCTCTTTCTTGGAAGGCCTGTTCAGTTTGCTACAGCTGAGCACACACAGGGTAAATGTTGCAGAAGGACTTGTAGCTCTTGAGATAATGAAAACTCTTACAACTTAATGGTTTAATAGCTCTGCATTGAAATCTTTCTTTCCAGAATCAGAGGGTGTGTTTGGAAGAGTTCCTCAGTGCATCTTGGACGACGAAGGTTCTCATCTGATTACGGCTCATGAGAACTCCCTGGACTTGCAGAACCTGCACCGTGTCTCAGAGAACGCCTACAAGCAGTACCTGAAGTCCAGGCCGATTGCCTCAGCAGAGTCGATCAGACGGGTGAAAACCACCGACCTGTCCAGCATGGCCGTCCATCCTTTACTGGGTCAGCTTCAAGTAACATCTATTTAGAAACCAACTTACATCACAGCTTGATGGATAATGATTTTTTTTTTTTTGCATTTTAGGTTTGGGTTTGGAGAAAAATGAGCTGGAGCGTCTTCAATTAGTCGATGCGATAAAGGGCTACAAATCCAAATCAGTGAGTTTACTGCTGGTAATGTTTAGAGCTGGAATTTTATTGCCAACGAAATTCTTTAAAACACTTTTTTTTTTTTTCACTTTTTTTTTTTATTTAGACTATTTTTGAAATCAACTCTAACAGTAAGACATCTGCAAGTGAGGTGATGCGGAAGAAACGCTCGAAGGACAAACAGGTGGTGGAGAAGTTTAAGAAGCAGAGGGCGGAGATAGCAGCAGGAAGCAGGCAGGAGCAGTCTGTCACTCGCAGGACTCATCATGAGGAGGAGGACGATTATGGAGCTCATGGAGGAGAGGAGAGTGATCTACAGGTAACTGATAGCAAAGTTTGAGCAAGTTTGAAACCTACATGAGGTGAACATTAAAAAACCCCCAAAACCCTTAAAGGGAACGCTGTTTTTTTTACATTTGGCCCTTGATTTTACGTTATCACATCATGTTCTACTCACCCATATGAGTTTTGTGTCATTTGGAGCCGTTCTGAAGATATTGCGTTAGGTTTCATCCAAGTAACGTCTTCCTATGAACGATCGACTTGAAGGCACAAACTCATGCACTCGCCGCTTTGTTTTTAGAACATATAAGTATAAAAAATATAACCGCAGATGTCTGGAGAACAGTGATTCGCCTACATGTTATGAATGCTGATGTACCATAAATGATAAATTATGAACAGTTTAGTTTGTGCCTTTAAGTCGTTGCTCATAGGAAGACGTTACTTGGATATAACAAAACCGAATATCTTCAGAACAGCTCCAAATGACACAAAACTAATATGGGTGAGTAGAACATGTTGTAATAACTTAAAATCAAGGGCCAAATGTAAAAAAAAAAAAAAAAAAAAGGCGTTCCCCTTTAAGCAAACTTCATACATCTTTTTTTAGCCAATTAAGCAGCTTAATTATTTTGTGAGAAAATTCTAAATTGCTGCTTGGAGCTCTAAGATCATTCTTTAGGAGGTAAAGTCAGAATAGGCCAGTTTTTATGTGTAAAATCTGTTTTTCCCTTTTGTAAAATAACAGTATACCCAAAGTAATTAAACTCTAATGTCCTGTTTGATTTCGATCAGCTTTAAATGGTAAAGATGATGGTGTTTCTACCTCTATTTTGAGACAGTCAGATTTGCCTGAGTTTAACCTGCTTTGTGGCGATAAGAGAACAACAATCTACAGTCCAAGTTATTATTAAGTACTTCCAACAAATACATTTGTTTCGTATACAACGTAAGGATTACCTAAATAATTCACAAGATTATGAGAAAATTAAAGAAATTAAATCATTTGTTGGTATTTTGTTTTGTTTTTTGAATATGATGACTTACTATGGTGGCATAGGTCTAAGTGAGATATATTAATACCTGAATGTGGGCCTATGATGATGAAAGTTTGTACCACAACACACTGTTTTAAAATATGTGCTGAAATAGCTACTGTTCAACCACTTTGGGCAGCACTAAGGTGGTTTGAGGCAACTTATGCTGGAATAAAAAATCTCAAATGAATTTGTAAAGAATGAACAGTTATATTAAAATGGCACGCAAAGGCCCTGTTTATAAGAACAAAAATGGACAATAAAAATAAAAAAAAACACTGAAAGGTCTTAAACTCGACTGGTTAAGGAAGGAGTTTTAATTTTGTTATTTTTATTCAAGCTACTTTACTCAACTTTTATTAGCCAATATTATTTGACATGCAACTCTCGATGTTTCCACCAGGGGGTGTTCTCAGAAGTGGTCGGCGGTAAGAGAAGAAACCTGCAGGATGATGGAGGAGGACGTCCAAAGAGCAAGAAAGTCAGGGAAACAGGGAAAGACGAGGAATATTACATCCCATACAGACCTAAGGACTTTAACTCTGAGAGAGGGTGAGGGTGGGCCCTTTTTGTTTTAAAGAAAATCACTAAATGCTTTGCATTTAAATAAATGATCTCCGGTTCTGTGTCCCTAGATTAAGCCTTGGTGCAGAGGGTACTCATTTTGAACAGCAAGCCTCCTCGGCTGTCCTTGACCTCATGGGAGACGAGGGCGAGCAATTAAACCAGCACAAAAAAATCATGAAATGGTGACTATTTAAACTCTCCTTCTCTCTAACATTAAAACCTCACTGTGTCCTTCAATCAATGTCTGATTTTACCATTTCGCACCAGGGACCGAAAACGGAAGCGTTTCGTGAGAGAGTCGGGAAAGGAGGAGAAAAACAAGAAGATCAGAACCGAGAGCGGACAGATTGTGAACAGCAAGAAACGGAAAAACTTGTATCCTTCATGGAAAAAATTCTTTGTGAACTTGTTTTATTCTGACACATGAATCTTTCAGCTGCATCATTAAGATGTTACCTCACTTGACAATCTATTAGTTATGAGGAATGGAAGAAGAAATACAGGGTTGATGATGCAGGTTCAGATGGAGACACAGGAGGAAGAAAGAGACCTTCTGGAGGTAGGATTGCCTCACAAATGTTATTAAATGAACCGTCAGCAGTGGGAAAATATTGCATCCTTGTTTTTTTTCTGTGTTCTTCCAGGTCGTGGCCGTGGCCGACAAGGTCCCAGCTCCCGCAGCCCTGCGGCTCCTCAGGTGACGGCAGGAGGTCGCAGAATCCGATCAGAACTGAAATCCAGCGCACAGATCCTGAAGAACCGTAAGATAAAGCAGAAGCAGCAGTTTCTGCAGGGCGGGGGGATGAAGAAAATCCGCAGCAGGAACAAACAGTGGCTTGGAGAGGTGAAGAAGTCTGGCTTTGGTCGAGGTGGCCAGAAGAAGGGCAAGATGAGGAAGAGACTGTGAGGGAGAGATGTCAGCAAAGAGCTGACTACACAGTGAGAGGCACGCTGAGGCGTTCTGTGTGTCTCCAGGTTTTAATAATCTCATGGTGAATTCTGTAGCTCTGACCTGAGAGACAATCTGGGGAGATTATAAGCTCGAGGACTCCGCAGCTTCCTGACTTTAGATATGGACTGTGATCCTGCAAAAACTGTTTTATCAATGATGGTCAAATTCATTAAAAGAGATAATATCCTGTGTCTTGTTTTCATTAGACATTTGTAAGAAGAGGGAAGGATGGGGGAAAAAAACACCTTTGGATTACCAGACTTCAGATTTAGATAGAAGTCAGTCATTTTATAATCAGTCTTCTTTGCTTTTTGTTTGGTCAATCAAAATTTGATTTTGTTTTGTGCAACTACCTCCTTGTTATGGTTTATTTTATATGTTTAAAACCAAACTCAGGGTTGTGTTTAGTAGATATATTCCTGTTCAAGAACCTTCAATTAATCCCTGGATAATCCAGCCAAGCATGTTCCTTCTTAGTTCGGTTTTTGCTTTGGCTTCAAGCGGTATTAGTCAGGTTTAACATTTTGCTCATGGTCATTGGGTTTTATCTCAGTTTTACAAAAAAAAAATTTTCCTTTTCCCTTTAACACATTTCCTTCATTTATGCTGAGTTAATCCAGCCAAATCCAGCTTAATAACTTCAAGACTGTTTGAATCAATAAATCACCTTAATAAAACTACACCATTTCGTGATCTAAAGAAGTCCCAACAACTGATGGAAAGGTGAAATTTGAAAAGTCATTTCTAAATCCATAGAACTTCAGTAAAGCACGGTAAAAGCCATTATACTTATTACCTACCAAAAAGACTTCAAGAAATAAAACCCAGGAAATCACAAAAGAATCAAGAAGAGCTAGAGCAGGATTTATCAGTCCTCCTTAAATTACTGCACGTTTAAATGTTTTCTTGCCTTTGCAGATGATTTCAATGAATAACCGATCTGAAGCAGAGGAGCATGACATGCATGGCAGTGTGTCTTGATGAGCACGTTTAAAAATCACTTATCTTAGACCACAGACGGCTGTGATTACTTTCTTTTGTAAAGGTTGATGTTCTGGATTCAGCAATAATGAGACATGTTCATCCATGAGAACGCAAACTTCATCAAAAAAAAACACAAAGGCCAACATTTAAAGAATAGATAATTCTGTGGCTTGCCAGAACGTTGATGTTCTGGTGTTTTGCTGCTTCTCTCGATCTGGCAGATGTGAAAACACATCAGTGTGTAGGGCCTCCCTTTACAATGTTAGAATAAAAATGTTTTTACATTTTCCCACCTCAAAAGCTAATCTTATTTCTGTTTTTTCTTTGAAAAAGCTTATTTATTTCTAAATTATTTGAAAACTGTAAAGATGGAGAAAAAGTTAGAGTACTGTTTACTGATAGATTTTGTATTTGTGTACTAGTTATATATGTGATCTATTATCAAAAATAGTTCTGAACCCTGTGATCATACACATTTATTGATTAGCTTACTTAGGAATTATTAAAAAATATGCACTTTGTTCTTTTATTATGTATTATATTTAGAAATGTAACCACATTTCTTTGGGTATTTTGCAGAAAACCTTTTCTGTCACAAATCGATTGCCTTCTGAATTTTGAATCAAACCTTTTAGCGCCGTAAGTTTTCAGGGAACGGATATCCTGTCTATTTTAAAAGTGCATCTATTTACCTTGACCCTCTTCTAACTAATTAAGTCATCCACTTCAGACTTTTCCATTTTAAAAGACCCATTTCCTCCCAAGCTTTAATTTCTGGAAAGAGTATTTAAGATGCTGCTTTCAATTTTTTACAATATTTTTTATTCATAAACATATCTAATATACAACAACCACCAATCCCACTGCGGCAAAAAACACACACACTTCCATTCTACTTTACAGTTGGGATGGTCTCAGATGTTAAAGCCTTCCCTTTTTTCCCTTCAAATGTCTCACACCTCCAAAACATTGGCCTTTCTCATTAATTTGTGTGCTTTAAAAAATGCAAACAGTTTTTTTATATTAATTTTTGAGTTATCTTAATGAAAGCTAATAAAATAAACTCTTTAAAAAGCTCTCCATGTCACTATCCTAACATTTAGGAATATTTCAGGTGATCCTAACAGATTTAAAACAGTGTTTTGTAATAAGACGGATAAATAAAAGGGCCTGTGTGTAATAAGCTTTCTCATTATCTAGTTTTAACTTCAATATTTTCCAGAACTTGTTTTTATAATTTCAATTTTATTTAAACAAACTCAAATATGTGTTAACTCATCTGTTATCCAAAAACTGGACAACGGATGTTTCCTGCTATCATGGCCAATTTACCATCTATTAATAAATGCTCATTTGACTCAGTACAAGGTCCTTTATAGTAACAAACTATATTTTATAAAAACTAAACACTCTTAACTTTATTGAAGTAAAGCTGTTAACTGTGTGGGAGGAGCTCCAGCAGGGTGAAGGACAGTACGTTGTCCAGATATCAGTTAATCCTCATGCAGAGATAGAAAGTCTCTGTAAGGCTTCTGTGAAACTACTGCCCCCTCCTCTGTTATGTACCTGATTATCCCTCTCCCTGTCCAAGCACTCTACAGCACTACACGAGCCCCCCATGCCTCAGGAACGACAGCTTTATCTTTGCTTCGGGTTCCCAGGACTGACACAGCATCCACTTGAGATATGACAAAGAGTCTGAGAATCAGAACACAGCTGCTCACACAATAGCTGAACAGTACGTTTGGCAGACCAGATAAAAAATACACTGTTTAAAAGTAAAATATAAGACAAACCCTGAAATGGTTAACTGTAGAATGGAGGAGCTCATCTCTTGTGTTTCAGGCTTATTTTTGCACTTGATGATCCCTGCAGCATTCGTGCAGTATTGCATTCCTGCCACTATATCATTCAGCAGTTTAAAATGACTACAGGATGAAAGAAATTTGCAAATCAATTGCTTTGATCAGCTTCTGGATTATTAAGAAAGTCAGACAGAAAAAAAGAACTAGATAATTTCAACACAAACTGAAAAATTCAACTGAGATTTGAGAAATATGAAGTGAAACTTGAGAACCAGTTTTTAAAGCAACTATTTCTGGATAACAGTACATATCTACAAGCACTATGCTGCAATTTTCCCACAGTTATCACATTAATCTCAATCTATTATCAAAGCAATTATCTGTTTGCAGATATGTGTTCATGTGTTTCATTTTCTTCCCGAGGAGCCAACACTGCAGTCTGGCTCTCCTCCATTCTCCGTATGCTCCCACCATTGATAAGATTGCTGGCCTTTTTTTTCCAGACTCACTCTCGCGGCAGAAGAGCACTTAAAGAATGACGGAGACGACACTAATGACATCTCCCGCTCTGACTTCCACATTTTTATATTAACATTTAAAGCAAATTTTAAAGAGATTTAATTTTTAATTCTGCTTTAAACAATGTACTTTCCTTATTAAAATATTTAATTCTTTGAAAAAAAAAATGAGACTACTTTAATGACTAAAGATAATCTGAGTACATGCAAAATGCACTTTTTAAATCTTAAAAAAAAAAACACCCCTAAAGTTAGTATCTGGATGTGACATCCTTAAAATTAAGCAGATCCTTCAATAAATCAGACTTAAATTCAATTTTAAAGCCACTACAAACCATTCATGCTTGAAACCCCTCCGGTGTGTCTTAAACAAAACAATGTTGGAACAAAATGTTGGTCTAAATGTCTTTACAGCGACGAAAAGGATCACTGCTATTTAAATGCTTTTTGGCATTTGCTGCTGCAAAGGAAATAGCTGAAAATAGAGAAAATATTTTTTTCCTCTTACACAGGGTCAGGTTTGTTTGTATAATAATTTTACCTTTGATTTAAAAGAAATTTGCTTATGGCTTTGCTGTCCTTATTTGGAGTAAAATGCAGAGAATCTGCTCAATATGCCCCATTGCATTTTATGTAGATCTGTGGAAGTGCTGCACTCTTTGAACGGGTGGAGCTCAATGCTGTTTGGTCAGATACTGGTAAACTGTGTTTACTGTTAAATTACAGAGCTGAGGCTTTGTTTTGTTTTTTTCTCTTTCCCACGTTTTTTCTTTTCTTTTTTTTTTTTTAAGAAAAAGGCAGCTCAAAAGAGCTTTTAAAGGGAACCCTGAATTTAGCTCAATCAAAAAAGGAAAAGTCTGTAGTTGTTCCAGGGAGGTTGAGCCAGAAACTTCCAATTAGAAAGTAGAAATGCCTGGAGGGGTTATGTTGGCTGCTATAAAGTTACAGTAAGGATAAAAAAAACAAACCACACTGGCAAAAATGATCAAATTATTTTGAATTCGTAAATCTAAAATTGACCTTATGAGGTGTGATCAGATGAAGTTCAGAAATCACGGTAAATAAACCTCAAATGATCAAAAGCTTTAAATATAATGATTTATACTTGCCCTACATCAAACTTTGGGTTGCATAAATTTTTACTTTCTCCACTCAATTTGTGAGTGACCTATGTATAATTATGGGTTTAAGATAGTGTTTCTAATATCAATAAAAAGACGCTGCTAATTATTATTTTTTTTATCTCAATAAAAAAAGCTCTATGAACATTTCAGGTGATTAAGATTACTTTGATATAAAAAGGCTCTATCTAAATCCTCAAAGAAAGTCTTTTGGCTGTGATCTGCTGCTGTTGTCAAGCCATAAATTCCAATGCATTATACCAAGAGATGAAAATGCACTTCAGTAAAGACTGTTATTCCTAATGCAAGCTGCAAAGTGATGTGTGCAATGAAGGCAAAACCCTGCCAGTACACAGAATGTATATATGTTTTGCTCTGCTTTTTACCCCAGTAATCTTCCAGCACAATCCTTTTGATGACCACAATTCCTGTTTTGATCCATCCAAACAAATCTATTACTGCAAGTACAAACAAATGCATTTAGTTAAACTGATCACAGAGGACCCACAGATGATCTTTAAATAAATATATATATATATATTTTTTTAAGACTGGGAGAGGATATACGGGTTAGTACTGTGAGTTCCAGTGAGATGAAAAACTTGTTGGCATGCACATCAGTTTAAGAGTTTAGGATCAGAGAGGGTTATTTTTGGGGATGTTCAGTCAGAAAGCCCTTATAAAGAGGTCTTCTCTGGGTGGGTGGAAAGTGGGTTATCAGCTGGACTGTCGCTTCTCAATGGGGCCAACTCGTTTGCATC